AGTGAGAAATATGAGAGAAAATTCTATCAATGCAAAAACCACAATAGCAAATACAATTTCATTCCAATATTTAATGGTACTTTTCATACTCTGATTATTTTTGTAACATTTGCGAGATTAATTTGACATATTTCCGAGTTTCCAACTTGAGGGTAGCCCTCCATTGTTTGGTTTTAATTATGCATGCACCTTCCGATACATTTGCATGCATGTCACCAACAACTCTTCTCATGTGCCCGCATTTAATTGACTCAAAAAAGAAAAAGGAAAAGACGTAGCTAGCTAGGTCATAATAATTCATCTCAATCTTGTTAAAAGAAATAAAGAAAACGGCAAATTATTTTTGTTTGTAACTTTTCATCAAGATTTAGATTTAGATGATGATAACGATGAATGATCGATGGTGATGGATAAGTAGATAAATATGAATGTGAATGGGAAGTTATGCTTCATCTGTTGTTTTGTTGGGGACCTCTCGTAATCATAATCATATATGGCTCTCCCTCTCTCCTTTCCTTGGTTTTTATTGGTTACAACTTGTGTCATTTGAAACCATGACCTACCAAAGTTAGCTGCTTCTTTGAATTTAGATGCTTTTTTTCCTGATTTTCTTTATAGAAACACACACACTCTCTCTCTCTCTCTCTCTCTCTACCCTTTGGGCTTTGGGGCCTTGTTTCTTTTGGCTCAGTGACCCAGTCGTGTTGGTGGCAGATTAAAAATGTTATGGTCCACCGCCACCCTCACTTATAGCAGAAAGTGACCAAACTCTGTGTGTAATGAAGAGCTCTAGCCCTAGCTCAACTAGCTGCAGCCTCTCTCTCTCTCTGAGGTCCCTGCCTGCCTAAGCCCAATAAATGACAACTTTCAATTTTATTACCACATTCAGTACCAATTGCAATTGGGACTATTTTAAGCCTTCTTTTTTATTTTGACAAAACGATATTCTAACTACGGGAAAGATAATCGAACTCGAATTTGAAAGCCAACTGATTACTGACCTAATTTACATCCGCTTTTATACTTCTATTTTGGTTTGTATAAAAGCATAAACAATATCAACCAATCACTAAAATAACTCGTGAGGAACACAAATTGCATGATTTGGTTTTTGATCCACATATATTATAAAAATGTTGAATAAATGGAGAATGTGTTGGCCGCCGACAATCGTCCTAAAGTCTCAATGGATTCTTTCTTGGCTGGTTTCGTTAAATTTCCAAATTGACAATGCAACATTACCCATAATTTATGATTTACAATAATAGCTGAATTTCGTTCACATATTTTCTTTTTATTTTATTAAGAGTAAAAAAGAATCTTCTTCGTTTATTCCACAAAATAAAAAAATCTATGATGGTAAAATGACCATTTATGGAAGGCGCAGGCTTTTTGGGCCAGGTGGGCCAGGAGCAGTTGCTGCCTATTTCTGGTTCCTTTCGTGGCTTCCCACGTGGCAACCTTGCTCTGATTGGAGCCTTGGACCTCAGCCCACGTGGCATCCTCACCCGTAGTGGAAAATAGCCGTTTGATTACGACCCGTCACATCATGTCCGTCAGTCTCCACAGGCGGTCCCACCGCTCTTTTAAGCTAGGAATTTTTTTTCCAAAATGAACAGCACCACCATCCTTTCTTCGTGGAAAAGAAATAAAATATAGTAAAACAGGTTTTCCAATTCCTTCCTTTTCTTTTTTAGTTTTATCTTTATTTTTTAGTTACACTTTTTTATATAAGAACAAATTGTGGTTGTTAGAGCATCGCTACGCATGTCTGTCTAACATCAAGCATTTGTACATTCACGTATTAAGAAATTTGGTTTCGCCACTATAGAATAGATTATTGCAACTAACATTTTTTGCTGCCTTAATTATGTCTAGCTAGTTTACATGGTACAGGTACAAATTTTCTTTTAGGATAATATTTTTGTGGGTTCATTTCTAAAGAGAGGGTTGTGAATTGTGCAAAATATTATGGAAAACAAATTTGCAACTATTGGTTAGAAGGCAGTTGTAGTAGGGTCCTTATTTACTACTACTGGATACTAGGCAGTACGTGCATTATTGATTAGTCTAAGTCCTGCGTGGTGTCTGCCTAATTCAGATTTGGAAGCAATTGTTTGTTTTATATACAAACATATTTATATACTCATGAATTTTTTGTGTTAATACGGGATAATGAGAGCAGAGAGAAAAGGGCACGACCAGCGCAGGGAACGCAAGCAAAGGCCTCTTCTGCAGTGGCTAAGAAGACGGACAACAGTGACATGAATGGATTGTGCGAGTGCAAGTTTCTTTGGTGTAAAAACTGAAAACTTGGGAGCTCATGTTACTATTGAGGCTCTACCTATAGAGAAAGTTTTAATTTGTATTGTTCTCACAGTGGCGTGAAATGTGAATGGAATCCACAGAGAGAGAGAGAGAGAGAGAGAGAGAGAGGGATGAGAGAGAGGGATGAGATTTGAGGCGGTTGGGTTGGGATGGGATTGGTGGGTGAATGCGATTCGTCAAAAGCCATCTGTTGGTTATTTTATCTTGAAGATCAAGACACAGCTGCACCTGCTGCTGCTAAGCAAAGGGATTGGTGGAAGGTGGCTGCTTATTTTTGGTTTTATCAGAGAAAAAAACTCATCAGTAAAAGCCCACATGCATCCATCCATCCATCCATTCAACTTTGATGTTATCCACAGACACCGCAGAAAAAAGAGGCTTGTTTTCTCTCTCTCCTCTTCTTTCATACGTTCTACTTACATATATTATGCATTTATCCATTATTTTATTCTTCATTTTTTTAATCCCATTCATGTCCTGTACACTTGTAAATCATCTGGTATTGTCCTTCTAAGTTACACAGAATTTCATGTAAATTTTTCCTTCTAAATGTTTCTGCTTGGTTGAGAATCTGCTGGTATATCTGTCTGCTTATTGCTCCAAGATTGAGTTGGTTTTGTATGTGTAGCTTCTATTGATTTTCTCTGGTGGGCTATTTGTTCAAGTTAGAGGCTTTACTTATTCAACATTAGCCACTGAGTTAAAGATTTGCAACTTTGTTTGGGAAAATGGTAAACTCATTCATATCTCCTATTGAAATGATTATTTTATTCTGTGACGTGAGTGCTTGCGTAGCTGTTTATATGTTTTCCTCCCATCCCATCCATTCTGTCCTATGTTTGTTTGGATTTTTTTTCTTTTCTAAATTCTTTTATGGCAACAGACTTGGCTATGTTCCAATCATGAAATAAAACAAAATTCTCTTGTAAAAAAAAAGAAGGTTCAGTTGTTGTAACACTGTCTTTGGCATCTTAAAGACTTCAACTTTTATTTAGCTAATATATTAGAGTTATTGGTTTTCAGTCTTGAAAATTTAGATGAAACTTGCTGCCACACTACCTGTTTACAATGTTGCTCTGCATATAGTCTAAGCAGACATTTCTGACAGAGTCAAATAATGCATGGAACTATTTGAACAGCTATGATGGTGTTTTCCCTTTCTTTGGGGATTGATTCAACCATTATATAACTTCTAGCGCTAAATTTTTTTGCCCCCAATCTGCACCACGGTATTTAGATTAGAACAGACATTGTCTGCATGAATTTCTGTTTTGGGTCAGTTTATTTATCCTAAGATCCATTCTTGATTTGTTTATGCATACACAAGCAAGTTATTATCTTCTCTAGACATCATTTTCACTGTCATTGCTTCCTGTAAACTCTGCTATGAGCCATGCCTCTGTCACCACCAATTAGAGTAAAGAATGGCAGTGAAAAAGTAGATTAGAAAAGGCAGTAACAAAGGGAGAGGGAAACAAGAAAAGAAAACAAAAGAACTAATAATTTGAGGGAAAGGGCTTGAGGGAGAGAGAAGGTGGACGGTATGGAGCATTTCTGTCTTTAACATGCTGTGGAATGCCTTTGCAAAAAGCCAAAAGGTCCAAGTTCTTTGTTTCATCAACAGACTCAAATCCTTTTGAACAACTTGTTTAAACAGAAAATTTGGATGGTTTCCTTTTCTCACTAAAACTAGAATTTATAATAGAAGGTCACAGCAGTAATGGGGATTCTTCTGTCAGTCCATTGTAGGCTTTTGCTGACGTTTTTTGAGCCTGGTCCCGTTTTACTTACGGACAACATACTAGAACACCATATTCAATTTTTTTATGCCTAAAATGTCCTCTCTGTCTTGAGTAATTACTTACCAGTAGATCAGAAAATTGAAACCCCAAAGATCATCCAGTATTCGAAGGAAAAGTACTGCTATCAATTGAATTTCTCTGTGTGTGTGTGTGTGTGTTTTTTTTTTCATTTTCTTGTTGCTGGTGTATGATATAAGCTAGGCATATACAAGTACACTTCTTATTTCCTGCTAGGCATATTTATTGGCACACGTTATACAACAATTGTTTAAGAGGTGACTATGAGCTGTGGCTTACACATATATTGGGTGAATTTATGTCCTGGTGTTGCATGCATGCCAACTCCATCTGTTATCGTTTACATGGACAATCTTCCAAAATATCTAAGAATCAATTTGAGGAAGTAAATATTTCCAGCGAGCAGGCTATGTTGAATAATGTCCTAGTTGTACACGGCAAATATCATTGCACAAAAGATATGGTTGAAGTTCTATGGCATTAGTTTTCACACTAGAATTTGTTCTGTTAGGCTTTATCCATTTACCATGAGTTGGTTGACTCTATTTTAGTACCGAATTAAATGAGAGCACGCATGCTTAATATTTTCCTTTCTCTTTTCTTTGTGATGATTTGAATGTAGGATATAATCTTAATTCTATAGATTTCATGTCACTTGAGTTAAAATTCACGAACTACTTAATTTGTCACCGTGTTATGTCACTTAAGGCAAGACTTATGCCCTACTGACCAACTGAATTCGCCTTATATAAAGTCAATTGGTGAAGTACACAAACCTTATAGAACTTGATTGTTTTTCTTCCTTATAGAACTTGATTGTTTTTCTTTCTTTTTTGTTTACGATGATTCAACTACAAGATATTTATCGTACTTCTATTATTTTCATGTCACTTGAGCTAAAATTCATGAGCTACTTAGTTTGTCACCGTTATGTCACTTAAGACTTCTAGCCTACTTACGAGCAGAATTTTCATCATATAAAGTCATTTTTTGAAGTAGACAAGCCTTATTAAGATTAGAACCAGAGTGATTTCCTATTTTTAGTTCAGGCAGGGGGAAGAGAAAGCTTTGTTTTTTTTTTTTCTGATGATCTGCAGGCAATAGAAGTTGTGTTCATCAGAAAGAGGCTAACATGTCTCTTTAGTGCTAATTACAGTTGAAAAAGAAAGAAAACTTTTATTAAGGTCAACCTTCCTAACTGCCCATTTAAAGCTTGTAATAAAACTGTAACAAATGAGGTTTGCCAAATCAGAGAAAAATCCAAAAAAATTTAAAAACTCTAGACTGTCCCCAGCTATTTATAACATCCAAGAGGCCCTCCGGAGATCAACCTGTGCTTATCTGCAGTGTACTTTGTTCTTCAGAATACAGGAAAAACCCATGATTCTCCCAACCCACCCACCTCTTTCTACATTCCAGTTACACCAAAATTGAGAGAGAGAAAGAGAGATGAGGCAGGGTCAATCCTCAAAGCAAGAGACCAAAGACTTAATGGAATTAGGTAAACTCAGTAAGCTCAAAGAGGAGCCTCATCATCTCTCTGGTGCTTACATCCGTAGCCTAGTGAAACAGCTCACCTCTTCAAGAACCAAAGACCCCATGAACCCCAATAAGGACCTAGACTGTGATGCTTTTCCCAACCAAAACATGGCCAAATTTGGTGAAGGTTTTAGTGAAACCCAACAACATACACAGCAACCCCCCCAGCCCCAACAACACAAAAAACAAGTGAGGCGGAGGCTTCACACCAGCAGGCCTTACCAAGAGAGGCTTCTAAATATGGCTGAGGCTAGGAGAGAGATTGTTACTGCCCTCAAGTTTCATAGGGCAGCTATGAAACAAGCCAGTGAACAACAGCAACAACAACATCAGGACCAAGAGCAACAGCCACAATCACAACAGTTGCAGCCTCAGCCCCACCCTTGTTTTGAACAAGAAGGGAGAACTAAATCTAGGAGAAATCCTAGAATTTACCCATCAAGCACAGCCAATTATCCTGAAACTCTGCCCTTCCCATCTGATTTTTCTCATCATCAATATCCCTCTGTTCCAAATCCATATTCCTGGACTGCTTCCACAATTGCTCTTCCACCTGAAAATTTTGATTTCACACTTCCAAACCAGACTCTTGGCCTGAACCTCAATTTTCAAGATTTCAACAATATAAACACCACCCTTTACCACAGCAGCAACAGCCCACCATTTTACTCAACCTCAGCCTCAGCCTCAGCCTCATCTCCATCATCATCTTCTTCCCCAGGTCTCTCTGTTGCTACTGATCAGGAAATTCCTGGCTCAGCTGCAATTTCACAGATGGAAGTGGAGGCTCCTGCAGTGACTGATGTCACTGACTCTGGCATCACAATCAGTGGTGGTGGAGGCTTGCATGCAGCAATGGATGATGAGGAGATGGCAGAGATCAGATCAATAGGAGAGCAACACCAGATGGAATGGAATGACACCATGAATTTGGTAACGTCAGCATGGTGGTTTAAGTTCTTGAAGACCATGGAACTTGGGGGTCCAGAAGGGAAGCCTGAAGATGATGATAATGTGTGGTACCATCCATTTGATGAAGCCATGGAATTTCCAGCCTGGTTGAATGCAAATGAGAGCTGTTTTCAACATCGTTTGAATGATTACTACTCAGAGGACTATTTTCAAGATCCTGCCTTGCCTTGGTAAGACCCCAAGCAAACTCAGAAAAGGCTTGTTCCATGGCCCTTTTTTTCCTGGTACCATAAGGAGCAGCTATTTTCTTTCATCACCAATCTGTTATTTTCTTCGGAATTGAAAATATTATGTGTGATTGCATCATTAGAATCTGTTTCTTTTTGTCTTTTACTGAAAATTAGTAATTGATTTTTTGAACCTCACCAGTTGCCATGGTCTTTATTGTCATTAGTGCAATGGTACCTGGACCCAATAGAGCTAGTCATTATAATACGTGGGAAGCCATGAGAAAGTGTGGCCATTACTTTTGTTGTCTCTTCAGCTTCTCTTTTTACAGCTGAGAGCTGTGTTTAGACCTCTGTAAGTTCCATTTTTGCCAGTAAGAAGCTTTAGCTGATAGGCATATATTGTTTTTTAAGAAGCGATAGTCTAAACTAAAAATGATAAAAACTATAGAGGAATGAGATTTTTCACACACGCATGCATCGGTTTATTTTTTTTCTTTCTTTTCTGCCTCAAGATCTTTGAGTATTAAAGCCCAAGGATACAAAATTATCGAATTTGAGGCTCGGCCCAATTAAATTTTTTGTGAAACACAACCTGTAGGTCTACATGCCCATGTCAGCTTTTCATGGTCTTTTCTGTAAAGATTGCGTTAGTTTGACTCAGAGGATTTTATTTTATTTTATAAAAAAAATTATTTGAATTTGTTTATTGTTTTCTTACAAAATGATAGTTTACTAATATTAATTTATTTGCTTTGTTTTTCCCTTGTAAATTTGTGACATACAGCATGGACATTGGAGAAATTGAAGGTATTGATGGGGAGTGGTTAGCTTGAGCATGACAAGGATTGATGTTTTTTTTGTGAATCAAATCTTTGGCTCTTTTTCTTTCTTTATTAATTCTTTAAATATTTTTTCTTTTCTTTTTCTTCTAGTTTCCTTTTCATCTTTGAGGACATAATAAAGGCTTGCAAAAAAATATATAGCAGGCAGGCCATAGAGGAAAATAATGAAGGAAGAGAAGGGAGTGTGCCTTGTCTCCTTTCTCAGCTTGATAGATTGAGAAACTTTTACATAGCTTTCCTCAATATTTTTAAGTTTCAGGGATTTGCTTCATATGCTATTTGAGAATATTTTATTTCTATCATACAGCTTTCATTGGGAGCCAATGATTGATGAGAAAAAAAAATAAGAAATTGAGAATTTTGTCTGCTTCAACAAATAAAAATTGTGATGAGGACACACAATTTGGCTCTCCTAGTTGTATTTCTGTTCTTCATGTAGATTGAATTTGAACCACATTTGCAGGACAAATTATAAATAATGTGACTCACAGTGTTCCATACAATAATTACTCACAGTGTTCCATACAATAATTGTTCTTAAATTAATTCTTATAAGTAGAATATGCTTTTTGTTTCTTTATTATAGAATAAAAATATTAAAAAAACATGTGAAGCTTGACTTCTGTTCAACCTTAACAAAGGGGCAAAATCTCCATCTTCAGGGCATAAGATTTCAATTTCACAAATTTATTACTTTATTGATCAAATAGCTTAACACAGATTATGAATTATATGAATATGTAAAAGAAATGCATAGATCAGCAAATGGGGTGCATAAGAGCCTAAGTCCCCAAACATACAAATAGGTAAGGTTAATTTCTATAATAAAATTCAAGGGAGCCGATATTTGCACTCCAAAATAAACTTCTTCGTAGCGCAATGCAAATTACACTTTCTGAATTTAATTATCGTTTTCTTCTTCGCAATAGTCTCGGCTGTTATAGGGGCTAAAAGCTTCTGAAAACCAGTTGTCCTTCCTCCAAGACTTCCATCCCATCTCCTCGCATATCTCATCGCTGTGGTTGATGCTGAAAGTGGAAATGCAGTGTCTCTTGTAAAACCGGGTCGTCTTCTTCATCACCTCCATCTCTCTGCTGATCTGGTCAAGCATTTCTTGGACAGTGGGAAGTTTGAATTCATTGTCAACTAGTCTTGCTAGCCATTTGCTCCTCAACTCTGCTGTGTGCAGGTTAGAAACACTCTCTATGAACCCCACAAATGCCATGTTGGGAATCAATGGATGGATCGTACCCCTGAAATAACATGTGCAATCATTCATATAATCAATTAAGAATTCTAAGGGTTCATACAACTTTGGCTTATTATTAAACTATCATGCTCGTTTCAAATTGACAGTTTGACAATGTATCATACCTGTATAGGGGCATTGTCCCGGAAGAGTCAACCACGAGACTGCGGAAAGGCTCAGGTAACACAGATTGGAGCTTCTTCTTTCCCTCATAGCCAGTGGCAAGAAGCACAACATCAACCTCCAATTTGGTGTTGTCTTCAAACTCAATTCCTCCGTTCCAGAACCACCACTTTGGTGACCTTTTGAACAATATTTTACCCTTGTCTGCCTCAGCAAAAAAACTCTCAGGCAAAATAGCCATCTGGCAAGAAGCATAGTCCTCCACAAATGGGTGATCTGGTTTCAATCCATACTTCACAAGTGGAAGCTTCCACACCAAATATGACTCTATGAACTTGGAAATTGCCATCCTCTATGCATGAAGAAAAAAGAGTACCCAAGTTTGAGTTTGCCTTTGAACAATGTATAATTAGTGTAAGAATGTAAGAGATAAATATGAATTTACCATAGGGGATGAAAGAAGGCAAAGCAGGGCTCTGAACAAGCTCTGGTTTGGCCTTTCATGTAGGAACTGAGAAGACCTTGTTGAATAAAACAGGAAAAATGGAAGTCCCCAAATCCAGTAAGATGGAACAGTCCAATGCAAATTCCTTATCACCATTGTGCATGCTTGCCCATCGGGTCCTTGAATTGACCAAAAGAGAAGTGTCAATTTATGTTTTAAATCTCCACTTGATCATTTGCTACAATTTTTTTTAATACAAAACGATGGTTTAAACTATAAGAGAATGATATTTCTCACATACACTACCATGAAGGTTTGAACTTGATGCTAATTTTGGCTACATCACGTTGGCCAAGTGATCATGGTGTACTACAAATTGATGCTAATTTTGGCTAATTAAGTTGTTGCTAAAGCACAAAGTAAGCTATAATTGGTAATATACTGATAACGTGTGGTCAACTGAGTTTAATATATAATCTACGTTGCTAATGTCACTTTTCAGACTGACAGTTCCCACCAGTTTGACCATTCTGTCCCCCCTTAAGTGGGTTTATTTTTTGTTTTTAGCATTATTAATATCACTAATTAGGATTTAGGATGAGATTTTTTTATAAATAAATATACCTTGGTTTGCCTCGGCGCACTCCATAGCCAAATCAATGCCTGACTTCTTGAAGCCAATAATTGCAACCTTCTTGCCCTTGAGGAGCTCACGAGCGGCTTCGTTGTCAAGCTTAGAGTAATCCATGGAGTGCAAGACTTTGCCTTGAAATACTTCTTGACCTTTGTTGCGCGGGAAACTTGGCATTCTTGGTATGTCTCCATATTTCCCAATGCAAATCACAATAAACTCGAATGCATACCACTGCAAAATCCGAACAAGTATTAGTTAACAAACCAACCAAAAAAGTTTACATATTTATGACTTAATGTGTCATATTTGTCGTTAATTTTCACATCACAAATACAACTATGCGTAAAAAAATAAGTTTTATAGTATGTCTCATAAGATGCAATTCGAGACATGTAACATTAATTTATTGATCGTATTGCTGATGACATATCTTATATAAGAATGTCTAGATTAATTTTAACTGAAAGATGTTACCAATAAATATATCAAAACATAATTAAAGTCATGCAAACTTTATCATAAAGACAGTAAGCATGCACGAAGAAGATGGTGACTAAAATAAAAGTTGTGTAAAGCCCAATTTTCAGGAAAAAACAACCTGAATGGTGTTTGGATCGCCGGACGTCTGAACGGCGACCTCCCAAACAGGATGGCCGGTCAAAAGACTTCCATACTGCCCTGATTTCAAACTCACAGGCAGCTGGGTAGCTTGATCATTACCAACATAACGTATTTCCACCACCCTGGACTCAAACTTGACATATTTCAACACGTCAAAGTGTGTGGCATAGCCATACAAATAATCCAAGACCTCAACGTGAGAAGGGAAGCTTGAACTGTCCCTCTCAGCCCAAGGGTAGTCAGAAAACTCGAAATCGCATCGAGGGGTTTGGAGTTTGGTACAATTGTAAGAGCAGTGTTTCCAAACACCCCCAATCGAATCAGTGGCCTCAAACACCACAGGACTGTGACCTGAAAGCTGTTTGGCTGCAGCAATTCCGCTAATACCAGCCCCTATGATGCCTACTTTGGACACTGAGTGAATAAGGCGGGTTTGGTTATCAGCAGCCATTTTGATGTTTGGATATAGCTAGCTATAGGTTGGACAGTATAAGCAAACACAATATATGGGTTTGTAATGGTTTTTTGCATGTGTATGGACTTGAGAAATGAGGCCTATTTATGGAGAGGGAAGGTTGACATTTTCTTCTTCTAACCCTAGTTGTATACTACAATTATATTTATAAATGTTGTTGGTGGATTCAGTACCTAAGTCCATAACAATCTATGTTATTTTATATCTATACAATCTTCAAAACCCAGTTGGTAAACTCTCTCATTTCCCACTTTGTCTTCAATCATGAAATAATGATTTTGCGTTTAGTGGTGCACAATGGTTAAACACACACACACACAACTCAACCCCTCCCACCACCCGTTTTGAATGTCATTGAAAAAAAAATTAACATAAAATTTTGAATGCAACACTCGGAATTCATTTTACTTGAGTTAAGGTTGATGTGTAAGATGAGTATATTATATTACCAGTAAAATTATATGACATATATAGGAGCGTACGAGTGAAACAAAATTTGACCCCGTCTTGTACGTTTGCATTATTTTCCAATTGCAAACCTTAAAGAAATAAAATCAATGAACTCATAGAAAATTGGGAGGCATAAGCCTATTTATATATGGGATTAGTTAGCATAAGACTAGCTTGACTTCTTGTGTTCCCATGTATATACAAGTTGACCATGCACGTGTTGGTGTTTTGTGATATAGTTTGAGATCTGAGTCCACTAAATTAATCTAAAATTATGGTAGTTCCACAGTTCCTCTCTCGCTGAATTATGTCACAAGTACATGCACTAATAGCAATTAGCAAAGTGTTCATATTGTTTTAATGATTGATATATATATATTTAAATTGGAAAATAGATAGGCGCGTTCGCTAATCATCGGTCTAATTTATCTTATGTGTCAAATAATAAGGGTTTAATTTAAACCAACTCGTCTTGGTAGAACCGAGTATGGATAATTTGCCGCGGCAAAGACCACATGACAATATCATATGTGCCACTACGTGTAGCACGTTGCTTGGCCCCACTCATTCTTATTAAAACTAATCTTGCATGTCAACGCAGCCAATCCTTTTTATGGACACCTATCAATCTATAATTATCATGCAATATTCAAAATATTATCATGAAATTACGATATTACCTAATTTTATAGTTTGAATTATCAATCTAACAACATATAAATTTAAATCGGAAGTAAAATTCGTACTCATGACATGATAACTTTTTCTTATTATGAAGTGTGGATCGTATGATTTGATATATGTGAATTAGACCAGTTAATAAAGATAGTGTGTATTCTCCTACACCGAGGTCGATTCACCATATATTAGACTTAGAGTTGCAAGAAATCGTTACCTCCTAGTTTCTCAATTTCAATATTAAGGTTAAGAAAATTGTGGATCTTCTATTACAATCAATTAAATTTACATGTTTTTCTTACATGTCCCTTTTTATTGAATTTTGTAATGGAAATTCAGTTAACCTGGATCCTCAACAACCATCTATGTACCAGGTCCTGTCCAGTACAGGCGACTGTTCGGTCAAGAACTTGAAAATACGTACTTATTTTATTTTTTATAAGTAGAAAAATAAATACAAATTTATAAATAAACCCAATCCTAGACATGTATTTATAAAAAAACCCAAATACTATTTAAACATAGAAACACACCCAAAATCAACCCCAAAGTCAACAATTGTATATTTTTTAGGTGTGTTTATAAATGGGTTTTGAGTGTGTGTAATAATGGATTTTGGGTGTGTTTATAAAGTGTTTGGAGTGTTGGATTTTTTTATAATTTTAGCTTATATTTTAGATGTTTTAGTGAAACTC